CTGCTTTCCAGGTCCACTGGTGGAACCTCTTCTAACCGGTTCGGTAGATTTGACGAACCGGTTCTACCAAACTGGTGCGAACTGGCAGGAACCCACTTCTGGGACAGATCATAAGTCACTTTTTAAAGTGCCATTGTGACACCCGCTAAATGATTGGTTATAAGTTGCGGATTACCTGCAATCCTATATGTATATAGCAAAGAAGTTATTTATGCTAGGGCTCATTCTGTTTCCTTATTTATTTTTCCTCCGTAACACCCTAAGAGCTGGTGTTTTAGGAATATATCGAAGTCTTTTCTGTTTCTTTTTTTTTTTACAGTATCGCACAATTGCTATTCCCAAACTGAAGGGTTATTTTGTCTGTGCTGGCATTGTCCTGCTGTGCATGTTTGCGGTGCAGATATGCGTTACCTCAAAGTAAGTGTTGTCTTTATTTCTATTATGCCATCAATCCAGTCTGTGTCTTCTTCGAGCCCCAGTGATTGTCTATGCATCCTATTAAATCAATTAAATTGTCAGGACTTTCTTTATTCTATAACTCTATTATTTTCACATGTTCAGAGGCTTCTTTGCAAAACTGTAGAATTTTTTCCCCTCATGGAGTAGAATAATAAGGTGTAGAGTAACAAGGAAACTGAAAAGCCACCCAGGCTAAGCTTTTCTTCTTAATATGCTTGCTTTCCATATACCTTTATTGTTTTAAGTACCAAGAAATTTTATTTATTTTATTATATTACAGTTATATGCCACTCATCTCACCATCTAGCAATGCTGGGTGACTTACAATGCCATAAATAACTGTCTGAAACCATTAAAAGGTTAAGAACGTTCAAAGATTGGAAGTAAAACATTAAAATTAACTACAAGACAGATAAAAGAAGGGGTGGAGATGATATCTTGCCATAATCTACTAGCCTCCTTCACCTCAAGGGAAAGTATTTAAAGGAGGAGGAGGAAGGAGATGAAGAAGAAAAAAGAAAAGAAGAAAGAAAGAAAGAAAGAAAGAAAGAAAGAAAGNCTTAACCTCCTATTTTATTTTATTTTATTGTATTTTATACAATAAAAAATATTAAATGACCGACATGACTAGCTGGGGGATTCAGGGAGTTGAAGTCCACAGATCTTAATGTTGCCAAGAGTTGGACACACCCCTGCTCGAAAGCAGTTGACATCCCTCAAAAAGATAACAGTGGATGGATTCACATGCAGCAAGCTAAACCATAAATCATGGTTTGTGAACTTGTTTACCGAACTCCCAGCTTAGCTATCGCCAAAGGAGTCAAATTATGAATTAGGATGCGAATTCAGCCCAAGAACCTTCTTTCTCCAGTGTAAAACAAAAAAAATCACACAAATCCATTCAGCAGTGTACAATTCTTGGATGATAAAGGAGCATCTTTATTGTAGTTTAATACAGGTGAAATCTCTTGTCTCTTCACAAATCTTCGTTTCTCATTCTCAACATCCTAGCGGCCAAAATTCGGATTTTTTAAAAAATAAATAAATAATTCTGTTATTTTCAGCTTGGGAAGTGGTCCTCTAGTTAATCTGGGATGTTCCCCTCCCATCCTAGTCGATTCTCTGAACGTTTGGAAGGAATCCTTTTTTTTCACGGTGTCGTTTTTTCCTTTCTTTTCAGAAACACCTCTCAGAAAGGAAGAATGGAGGAAGAAATCAACGATAAGATGATGTCGACCATTGAGGGCCTGAATTCAGCCAAGTAAGAAAGCAGAAGCGGTCCTTTTGTCAGGGTTCAAAGTAACACCCCCCCAATGAAAGAAGACTCCGAGACTTGAGGTTCCTCAAAGTTCCACTTTATTAGAGATGTCATATTGGCACATTTGGGGAAACCCAGATCTGAAAGCTTCCAGGTTTTCCCCACCCAAATGAAAGTTTAAGTCCCTGCCCAGCACCCACATGTCCATCCCATGATCCACTCAGGCGCCATCCAAAACTGGACATGCCTCCCAGTCACGCCACCCAGGTGCAGGGCAAGATGTCCTTAACTCTCTGAGAAAGGAATGTTATGATGACTATGTGTTCTGACCCCCCTCTTCCCACACCAACACACTCCGAGTCAAAGATACTTTCCAGAATTTATTAACAGACAGACAGATCCTTGGCAGCAAGCCAGCACAGATAAGCCGTGGCAGCAGTCCAACACAGATAAGTTTTGGCAGCAATCCAGACTGCCAAGCTCACAATACTGTTCTCCAACATTAGTTAATGCGTTGACTTCTGCAAAAGGGGCGTGTACACAAGCAGTCTTTTTATAGTCTGGAGATGAGCTTAAT